TGAAAGATAAGTTATTTAAAGACTGAATTGTTTTTAACTATTTTTTTTTTTTTTGTATTTTTCTTTTTTCTTTTTCTATTTTGTAATATTTTGAAAATCCTAATAAATATCTTATAAAAAGAAATAAAAGCAGGCCGGCTGAGCTGTTTGCTGTTCAGTTCTGTCCAGCTTACAAATAAAGAGCTGCTCTGGAGAAATCGCTGTGTCGTCTGCTATGTTCGCCCACAACTTAACCCTGGCGACGAAGGTGGGATCGATGGACATCAGAGCACAGCCAGATGTAGCCACCCTCTGAGCAGAGCTGAGCTGAATCACTGAGCGAAATCACTGAACAGAACCAATTCAGAGCTGACTGTTCTGGCTAGAGCACGGTGTTCCATCCATCGCCCTTCACGCCGGCATCGGAATCATGGCTTCACTTGTGCCTCTACCGCCGTTTGCGCCAGCCTCTGAATCATGGGACTCCTACCTCGCTCGGTTCGACTGCTACCTCCAAGCCAACGAGCTGACGCAAGTATCACAGGAGCGTAAGCGGGGCCTATTCCTCAGCCTCTGTGGGCCTGAGGTGTTTGAGACGGCCCGAGCATTGGTTGTGCCTGAAGCAGTCCAGGCAACACTGTGGGACACGATCCAAGAGAAGCTCCGCAACCACTACGCACCAAAGCCGTCCAAGATTGCTGCCCGCCATGCGTTCTACCACCGGAACCAGGCAGCGGGGGAGTCAATCAACAACTACACCACCGCCCTGCGACAGGCTGCAATGCACTGCGAGTTCCGAGACTTAGACGATGCCCTGATGGATCGAATCGTCTGCGGGGTCCGGGACATCCATCTGCAATGGCGTCTCCTCGCCAAGCCAGACCTCATGCTACAGAAAGCCACTGAGGAGGCTGTAGCCTCAGAAGCTGCTGAACACTCCGCCCAGGAGATCCGCAAGTCCAGCATCCCGCGTCTTGCTAGGAAGCCAGTTCCAGTGCATCATGAAGAGGCCAGCAGTGATGAGGCATCCTCCAGTGAAGACGATGACGTGCACCAGACAAAGCGGGAGCGCAGGAAGTTCCAACAGAAGTCCAAGGGCCAACTGGAATGTGCCGGCTGCGGAGGCAACCATTCCCGTGCCAAGTGTCGATTCAGAGACGCCATCTGTAGGAAGTGTTCCAGAAGGGGCCACATCGCTAAGGTCTGCCGATCGGCTCCGTCTGACACCCCCCCCTTCACCGACTCGCAAGTCCAAGTCTTCCAGTCTGCCAAGGAAAGCTGTTTCACTCTCACCAACTGCCGCTGCCCGTCTGGAACCACAATTGGCCAAACCGACTCGCCTACACGACGCAAGCTGAACGTCACGGTGCTCACTGAAGGAGTTCCATGTGACATGGAGATTGACACCGGGTCTGCCCTGTCCATCGTGTCTTGGAGCACCATCAAAAGACTGGTACCCAGAGTGTCCAAAAGGCAACTCGACTCTCACCGCGTACACCTGAGAGACTACCAGGGAAATAACATTCCCGTGGTAGGCGTTGGCCAGTTCCGGATCGCCTTCAAGGATTTTTCGGGCCTGCTCCGACTGGTGGTGGTAGAAGGTCAGCGGCCAAGCCTCCTAGGGCTAGACTGGTTTGATGCCCTCGGCCTGGAAGTCACCGGCATCAACTGCATCTCTAACGCAGAGACTGGCATGAGCGGGTCGCGTAACACTTGTTCGTGCAACACATCACCCCTCATGCGGCCACAGGGTGGAGTCCTGCTGAACTGCTTATGGGCCGCCGCCTCAGGTCACCGCTCGACCAGCTGCACCCGGACTTTGCCGTGGCCGAACCCCCAGGCTGTGCCAACGCGCCACGGTCATTTGTTCCAGGAAACCAGGTCTTTGCCCGGAACTATGTGGGGGACATTCCTTGGGTGCCAGCCACAGTAGTGGGAGTCACTGGACCTCGCTCGTACCAGGTGGCACTCGAAGACGGACGCTTGTGGCGCCGGCACATAGACCAGCTTAGGCGCAGGGTTGGGGACTTGGACAGTACCGTGGTGCCCCCAACTGCGCTCGTGGCTCCAGAAGAGACACTTAAAGATGGCGAGGCTCCACCTACACCTCCCTCGCAAACTGCCAGCGTGGAGCCGATCCAAGCCGCTTCAGAGGGTCGGCCAGACTTACCACAGACTCAGACCACTCCACTTGCGGAGGCTCCACCCACAGCAGCGGATCCAGGGGATTTGGTTTCAACGCCACCTAGGGTCGCACCACAGCCTCAGCAAGAATTGTGTGGCCCCCCGGACTTGGCTACCAGTCCCCGGCGGTCTGGCAGAGTTTCCAAGCGCCCAACTTATTTAAAGGACTATGTTGTTGGACATGTATCACTGTTGGTCTAAATATGGGAAATGTAACCGATATGCTTTTGTGCCTAATTGAACCATTACGTGTGGTGCTGTATATAAGGAAATCATTACGATTGTAACTAACGCCTTATCTCGGTGGGGAGGGGCGTTATGTACTGAAGTTCTCACCCTGGGCCAGCAGGGGGATACTGTAGATAGTTTTCACTCAGGTCCACGTCAGTTATTTTAGGCAGGAAACCCTGGGTTGTTGTTGCTACAATGTTGACAGCCGGCTGCCTATAAAAGCAGGCCGGCTGAGCTGTTTGCTGTTCAGTTCTGCCCAGCTTACAAATAAAGAGCTGCTCTGGAGAAATCGCTGTGTCGTCTGCTATGTTTGCCCACAACTTAACAGTCTCACATTGCCAAAGTCATTTTTCCCAGACCCCCTTTTCCCTTCTCCCTGTTTCCACCGTCTTTTTCAGTTTTTAAAAATCTTTTTGCCAAGAATAAAGCTGAATGTGTGTGAGCTAAATAAGTGTGTATTTTGCAGGATGCTTATTTACAAATTGTGCAATTTGGGTCTTGTTGATTTTGGGTAAACCTCTGTGTTGCCTGTTCTTCCAGTTTAACCCTGTAAACATCACCAACGTGCAGGCAGGAGACGAGGCAGTTTATTACTGTGGTGCATACAATTCTGCAAGTGGGTCTTTCACGCTACACAGTGATACGGCTAGCTAAGGTTCTGAAACAAAAACTCATCATGCTCAAGTTCCTCCGGCTTCATTGCAGCCTTGGTCCAGCTGGTTTTAGCCCCCCAACATTCATTAGCCCCAGCCAATATGGCTGTTTTGCACTACATATTTCTCCAGAAATGTTGAACCTCCCCATGTTCTGCACTGCAGCTGTGCTGATGGCTGGAGCTGATGGGAGCTCAAATTCAAAGCATCTTTAGAGCACCAGGTCAAAGAACAGTGCTTCGTTACATCAGTGGATGGCCCAGAGTTGTTGTTTTTTGTGAAGACCTCCTCGTCAGTGTTCCCTTATAGCATTCTGGGGCCAAATGGAAAGGCTTTCCAAAGTAGGGAAAATACAGAGGGAATGAAGACAAAAGAAGGAACTTAGAAAGAGCAGGCAGCTCTGGGACAAACCATTTGTGTGTCCAAAAGTAGGCCATAGGCTGGTTATAGCCCCTTGGGCCTCAGGTTGCCAACCTGTGGTTTGAAGTGGAGAAGAAGTTTGAGTTGGTTGCATTTAAAGGCAAACCTACCCAACATGCAACTCCCAGAACAACTCCAGAACCAAAATACCTATGTGAATTTTGGACTTCTCTGAATCGTTGTGAAGTAGTTCTCCAACTAAGAGATGTGCACAGAAATGGGGAAACCTTTGGAGAGAGAGTGCATGATCCATTCATTTGCAGTAGGGTTCTCAAGAGAACTGGAAGGCATGCAACAAGAACAATGCAGTTATTGTTTCAGGTAACAGAGGGAGCGCTCTTCCTACAGCTGAGCGGCACCATGAATGAGGACAGTGAGCTTCTGCCTCACAGATCTTCTCAACTGCCTATGCCTGGCGGACTGTGACATTTTAACACCTGCATATAATGGAAAGGGGCGATGGATAAAGTGTCATGAGACATAGAGTAGAAAAATGGCTGCACAGAATCATTCCTGTAGTCCATCATGACATGTCTACTCCGTTACAATACTCAGTCCACACACACCCCACTTGCATTTTGTAATAAAAACCATGGGTGTTCAATAGGGACTGAGGCTGCACATGAATGGTGGCGCACAAAGTCTCACTTTGCTAAATCAGACCCATCTCTGTCTTGTCCCCTTTGCAATGCCAGCCAGCCAGAGGGCTCTGGGAAGCAGAAGCAAAGAGAATCACAACCTGATGTGCCCAGAATCTGATATATTGTCTCTGGACATGGAGGTTCCAATTAGGCAACATTTTAATCTTTTGTGTGAGTCATCACCTCCATATCTTTCCAAGTTCACAAAACAAATGGAGTGCTCTTATACATCAGTGGTTTTTTCACCATGTTATCGTTCAGAGTTTAATCCAGGGGTGGGAAATGTCAGGTCTGGGGTCTGAATATGGCCCCCCAGGCATCTCAATCTGGCCCTCGGAACTCTCCCCAGCTGACACTTCTCACTGTCTCTTCCTTCATACACAAAGTGCCTTTTCCTGAAGGAAATGCATCCCTGAGCTCTGACAATGTCCCTTCCTTCTCTGAAGATCGAGAGGAGGATGCGGGTCCTTCAGGCAGAAATGTGGCAACCCAAAATCAAGATTGAAAAAAATGAGGAACAGGGAGGAACCAAAACTGACTGATCCATCCCTTGCTACCTGAGAGGCTGCATGCAGTGAGAAGAATCAGCCCTCGCCAGGCTTTAACTCTGTATACAGTGTTGGTGTGGGTAGGAGGAGGGGGCGTTGCTTTTGGAAGGAAAGGATTTGAATGTGGGGCTGGGTCACAGGTTCTCTGTGAGGCTTAAGAGAGGAGCAGAGGGTCTGAGCTGGTAACCCCCTGTGCCTTCCTGCCTTGGGAAGGTTTTCTGATCTAGATTCCCATCATGCTCTGGGCATCCCTTCTCATCACCCTGCTCACTTACTGCTCAGGTACCAAGGAAACCTGCATTTGCCTTTGTGTGTATTTGAACAATCAGAGACTCCCTTTCTGATGAGATGCTTCCTTCCCTTTGCAGGTTCCTTAGTAAGGCAGCCTCCATCCGTCTCCGTGTCTCTGGGGCAAGATGCTCAAATCACCTGTTCAAGGGATAAATTGGACACTGTCACTCAACAGTGGTTCCGGCAGAAACCTGGCCAGACCCCGGAGCTGATAATCTACGGTGGGAGCAACAGGCCCAGCGGGATCTCAGACCGATTCTCTGGCTCCGTGTCTGGCAAGACAGCCACGTTAACCATTGCCAGAGTTGAGGTGCAGGATGAGGCAGACTATCACTGCTTGCTCTGGTGGGACGGCACACAGCACTGGCCACAATGACACAGTCAGAGGGGGAAGTGAGACAAAAACCTTCAGCTGTGAAAGAGGAATTGCTAGCACATTGTCTGTTGATGCTGGAGGGACCTTTCTCTGGTGGGGAACATGCGTGGAAGGGCAGTTGATTCCTCTGGGCCTGCAAATCTTTTCCATTCTTTGTAGGCTGAGTTCTCTCTAGTTATATCATATATGGACCCAACGTTTATGGCAGAGATGGGGAATGTCAGGCCATGGGGCCCCAACACAGCCCTGTGCGGTCCTTGGGACTCATCCCTAAGCCACACCCCTCACCAGCCCTGTTTTTCTCCCTCCTTAAATGTGTTTGCCTGGCTGGACTGCGTCCTTCATCTCGGATCATTGATTTTGCCAACCAAATGGAAAATCGATAAAGACTATGTGAATTTGTACAGAGGTAGCCTAGCCTTAAAAGGTGAAAATTCATTCCTCCACCCACTTCTGGCTCCTCCCAGCCTTGGCATGTGGCCCCTGAAAGATTGTTCAGAAGGAATGTGGCCCTTGAAATGAAAACATGCCCCCACCCCTGTTTTAAGGGGGAAGGGCCCTTTTCCTTTAAGCAGGCTTTTGGGGCTAAAACTCTTGCTTTCTCTGGATGGATGATAAAGTGGGGTGTGCAAGTGAGTGTTTTCGACACCCATTTTTGCCTGTGGTTGCAGCCGCCACTGACATGTGGCTCACAGAAAGGAGGTTGCCTAGAAAGGAATGCGGTGCCTGGGAATAAAAAATGGTTCCCTGACCTGGTTCTGATGGATTACTTCCAAACCACCCTAAATATCTTTGCAGAAGCTTACGAAAAGCTTGGCCTATCACTCAACATCCCAAAAACCAAAGTGCTGCACCAACAAGTTCAACCCCTCTGCAGCGCCACAAATCCAACTCAATGGTGTAATGTTGGAAAATGTTGATCACTTCTCCTATCTGGGCACTTATCCTTCCACAAGGGCCAACATTGATGCCAAAAACCAGCATCGCCTGAGCTCTGCAGGTTCAGCTTTCTCCCGATTGAAGTGCAGAGTGTTTGAGAACCGGGACATTCGCAGGGAAACCAAAATGCTTGTTTACAAAGCTATTGTAGTACCAACCTTAATATATGCTTCTGAAACATGGACCACTTATAAACGCCATCTCCAACTCCTCAAAAGATTCTATCAACAGTGTCTCCAAAAAAATCTTACACATCACTTGGGAAGACAGGGGAACTAATGTCACTGTACTGCAAGAAGCAAAGATCACCAGTGTTGAAGCAATGATTCTTCAACATCAGCTTCGTTGGACTGGTCATGTTGTGCGGATGCCTGATGATCCTCTTCCAAAGCAACTACTCTATTCCAAACTTAAAAATGGAAAGCATAATGCCGGTGGTCAACAAAAGAGGTCTAAAGACTGTCTCAAGGCAAATCTAAAAAAAATGTAGTATAAACACTGACAACTGGGAAACACTGGCCTGTGGGCTCTCCAGTTGGAGAACAGCCTTTACCAAAGGTGTCATGGGCTTTGAAGACACTCGAACTCAGGATGCAAGGGAGAAACATGCTAAGAGGAAGGCATGCTTGGCAAATCCACACCATGATCAAGTCCCGCCCAGAAACCAATGTCCCCACTGTGGAAGGACGTGTGGATCCAGAATTGGCCTCCACAGTAACTTACGGACTCATTGTTAAAACCATGTTTATGGAAGACAATCTTACTCGGCTACGAGTGATCGCCAAAGAAGAAGAAGAAGGTATGAACGAGGCTCTCCTGTCGAGTGTTGTGTCTGAAGTGAAGTAAGTTGATTCGGTGTTGGAACGTGCTGAATTAATCAGGTGATGATCACACACGTTTCAGTTGACTCTTTGATGCATAGTGCAAAAACAGGTGTTGTAAGGGTAGATAGGGAGAGTCCCGCTGGACCAGACCAAAGACCCATCGAGTCCAGCATCGTGTTCTCACAGTGGCCAAGAAGATGCCCCAAGCAGGACCGTGTACAAGTGAAGTAGGCTTCACTCCTGTAGTCAAAGACTGTTAGTCCCTCCCTAGCCAAATTGGGGAGGTGAATTTGCATCCAGGCTCTGGCAAGGGCTTTAAGATCAAAGGAGGAGAATAGGGCCAACTGATACCTGTTTTTCTGGAGGAAAAGCACATTGCTTTGGATTTACTGCCATGATGGTCCCAGTTCTACTCCTGCTCCTCATTTGCTGCTCAGGTGAAGACCAAATGCTTCTGTCTGTCCTCCTTCCCTGACAGATGGTCTCTCACCTGCTCTTTGTCCCTCTCTGTCTACCTTGCAGTAAATGAAACTCCACATTTTGATCAATTTTTATTTTCCTTTCCTGTCTCTTGCAGGAGCTCTGTCTCAGTTCACTCTGACTCAACCAGCTTCAGTGTCAGCATCTCTGGCCGGTACAGTTCAACTCAACTGCACGATCACTGCCCTGTTTAATTATTTTTACTGGTATCAGCAAAAAGGAGGAGAGAGCCCCAAATTCATTTTGAGGCGGATCATAAACGATGACAAGACGGATTTTGGTCCAGAGTTCTCCAACCGCTTCTCTCCTTCCAATGATGCCCCGAAGAAAGTGGCCTTTGTAACCATCACCAACGTGCAGGCAGGGGACGAGGCAGTTTATTACTGTGCTGCATTCGACGGCACAAAGAAAATGTTTCACTGTGATGCAGCTAGCGGAGGAACAGAAACAAAAACCCTTCATCCTGAACCCCTCAGGCTCCATTGCAGGCTGTGCCATGCTCCTTTGAGCCTCCTACTTTCACTCACCCCAGACTGCACAGCCGTTTGTGACTGCAAATTTCTCCAGTTGTTCTGAGCCTCCACATTTCTTGGGCCACAGCTAAGCTGCCTGGGGCTGATGGAAGTGTCATGGATTCCTACTCAGTATTGATGCAGAGTAGATTCAAATGTATAGTTAGCAGAGTAACAACATAAACACGTTGCAGGATCCCCCCAAAATAGACCAGAGGCAATTGTATTTCATCCAGCAGAACTTTATTGCTATGAAAGGCAAATGAGCTTAATGGTCACAAATCCAATACATTCAGGATTGTCCCTGTCCGTAAGAAATCCAGTTGCAGCAGACTTAAACTTAAACTTACAATAACTTATAATGAGACTAAAACCTTAACACTAAGCAGAAAGAGGGGAAAGGAAGTCCTAAATGTTAAAATGATTATAAAATTATTGAAATGTATGAAATAAAAAATCAGAAATAAAATAATTAATAGGTGAATAAAGGAATAAAAGGGCAACAGTGTGCTCCTGTTTTTGCCAAGAACGCTCAAAGTCTTAATGTGATTTGAAAAGGGGAGGGGGACAAGGAGTTATCAGTTTATTTACTTTCAGTGTCTTTATCTGTCTGCACTGCCCAGGAGGTTTGCAGAAGGATAGTAAGCAAGAGGTGATAAGTAGAATGCAGTTATAGGTTCAGGCACCAGAGGGGCTCCCTTCCTTACTACTGCACTGTACCAAGTATGACAAGGGTAACGTTCTGCCTCACATGATTGTCAACTGTCTATGTCTGGCAGACTGTGAAATCATGACACCTGCATCCTTCTGATGTAAATCATGGGGGTTTGGCTTTTGCTGCCCAACTCCCCACAGGACTCTGAGTCCCCCAAGTTCATGACTGGTCAGAGAAGAATGGATGGAGGCTGGATCCAGTGGAAGGCAAGGCAGATATTTATTTTCCTGTTGCAGCAGAGTCCCCCCCCACTTCCAAGGAGGGAGAGACCCTGAACAAAAAGTGTGCAGGAAGCTTAAAAGACTGTTGACATTGCCCACCCCAAAAGTGTCATACATACATCATAGTAGGCGGGTCAACAGCAGAAATCCTGTCTGCCAGGATACCTGAGAATCGTGTGATAGTTTGCTTGTTTTTTATAAACAAGAATGTTATACAGTGGTACCTCAGGTTACATATGCTTCAGGTTACATATACTTCAGGTTACAGACTCGGCTAACCCAGAAATAGTACCTCGGGTTAAGAACTTTGCTTCAGCATGAGAACAGAAATCGTGCTCCGGTGGCGCGGCGGCAGCAGGAGGCCCCATTAGCTAAAGTGGGGTTGCCGCCACGGGGAGGGGGGGCATGGGTCACTGCTTCACACTCCCCCCCCCCCCATTTAGGGAAGATAAAGGATTCTGCCCAAGGCCTGAAACCGCCAAAGTTGTGATGTTTTGCTACGGGGAAGGCAAAACCTGCCAATGTAGGGAAATTCCTTCCCAGTCCTTCAGCAGCAACCATCAATGACTGTAGAAGCGCCCACATACCTGTAAAGAAGAGGTTAACCTGCAAAAAGAAGGCATAAACTGAGGGAGGGCAAGGTGGGAGAAGCTCTGGAGCCGACTGAGGAGTCCCAGGTAAGTTCCACCCTCTATTGTGTGTGCAGGGCGGTCCCAACCCTACCTGGTCAACTCTGCTGGCAACGCCTCCCAGGCCAGGATTGGTTAATTGTCTGAGGTTAGGCGGGAACCTCCAGGTATCCAGCTAGGGGAGGCGAAGCCAGGCTGTATTTCCGGGAATCGCGTAGCCTCAGGGGGCTGCGTGCAACCACTCAAAAAGTGCCCCCCTTTTGATGTGGGCAACGGCCATTACAATGTTTAATTTATCTTAATGCTGCTTTTTTCTGTTTTGTTTTGTTTTTCATGGGAAAAAAGGGTTTGTATTTAACTTTTGGGGAAAACTGAATTATAATAACGTTTTGGAGAGTCAGGGGGTGGATCGACACTCATGGTTTTTAACGTTAAGGAAGTGTTAAGGTTTTGAATTATGGTGCTGGAGGAGACCCTTGAGAGTCCCATGGACTGCAAGAAGATCAAACCTCTCCATTCTGAAGGAAATCAGCCCTGAGTGCTCACTGGAAGGACAGATCCTGAAGCTGAGGCTCCAATACTTTGGCCACCTCATGAGAAGAGAAGACTCCCTGGAAAAGACCCTGATGTTGGGGAAGATGGAGGGCACAAGGAGAAGGGGACGACGGAGGACGAGATGGTGGGACAGTGTTCTCGTAGGTGCCAGCATGAGTTTGACCAAACTGAGGGAGGCAGTGGAAAACAGAAGTGCCTGGCGTGCTCTGGTCCATGGGGTCACGAAGAGTCGGACACGACTGAACAACTAAACAACAACAACAACAAAGTGTTAAGGAGTGGTTTTGATATGGACACATGGCACCCTCCTTTTAACATTCATAATGTGTCGTTAAAATGTGACACCAGAAGGAGTTGCAGAGCAACCATCAGCAGGGAGACAGTTTTGGTGAAGGAAACGTAAAAGCAAGTATGCCCTGTGACGTTTTAGAATAACATTAAACGTTCTAATAACGTTAACAGGTCAGTATAGATCCAACTGGGGAGACCTTGAGATGCCTTATCAATGACATGATCCAACTTGGGGACATGAGAGTCTGCCCAGAATCACCCCATTTCACCCCATTATGGGGGTGCATCCAGAACGATAGACACATCATTTCAATTTGAAGCCCCACATGAGATGGATTGTGTTTGCTCCCTTTTGGGTGAAACTGACGTCCAGCTGGACGTGGGACTTATAGGCTGAGTAACTTTCCAGACTATATATGTGTGTGCACCAATAGAGGTTCAGCAGATTAGCATAAGGGGCGGGGCATGGAAGTTGCCTACTTAAGGAAGTGGGTTGGAGTAGAAAGCAGGAAGGGCATGTTCTGAACAACAGAGTCTGCATTTCCCAGACGTTGGAGAGCTTTTTATCATGTTTGGGGCATCTCTCATTGTCCTCCTGGCGACATGGTGCACAGGTGAGCAGAGTAGGGTGAGCTACCTTTCATCCAGTACCTTAAACACAGAACGGGTTCAGAGAAACTAACAGTCTTCTTCTTTCCCCAGTCTCATGTCAGCCTGTGGTGACTCAGGAGCCTTCTATGTCAGCCTCTCCTGGACAGACATTTAGATTCTCCTGTTCCATGAGCAGTGCAACAGTGACAAACTATTGGCAGTCTTAGTACCAGCAAAAGCCTGGCAGTTCTCCCAGATTGCTGTATTATTACTATGGCAGTGCAAGTGCAGGTTCTGGGGACCTCAGTCGGTTCTCCGCTTCCAAGGAGGCATCCCAAAATACCTGGTATTTAACCATCAGCAACATCCAGGCAGCAGATGAGGCTGACTATTACTGTGCTGTGTGGTATCACCCAGGTAGCAAGTTCCACAGTGATGCAGTCCTATGAGGAACTGAGACAAAAACCTCTGACTGCAGATCAAAGACACTTTTGTCCAAACACCAGGCTTACAATGAGACTCTGCAGAATCAGAAGCTGTGTCCTTATTTTCTCTCTGTGTGTATTTGTGTGTGTGTGAATGTGTGTAGAGACTCAGGTGGCCCTGTGGTCTAAACCAGAGTCTCTTGGGCTTCCAATTGTAAAGTTGGCCGTTCAAATCCCCATGGCGGAATGAGCTCCTGTTGCTCTGTCCCAGTTCCTGCCAACCTAGCAGTTCGAAAGCATACCAGTGCAAGTAGATAAATAGGTACCGGTGTGGTAGGAAGGTAAATGATGTTTCCATGCGCTCTGATTTCTGTCAAGGTGTCCCGTTGCACCAGAAGCTGTTTAGTCCTGCTGGCCACATGACCCAGAAAGTTGGCTGTGGACAAATGCTGGCTCTCTCGACCTGAAACTGAGATAAGTGCCACACCTCAAAGTCGAATTCGGCTGGATTTAACTGTCCAGGGGTCCTTTACCTGTGTGTGTGTGTGTGTGTGTGTGTGTGTGTGTGTGCATGCACGCACACACATGTGTCACAACGTCTCTACCACTCATTTAGAACCAATGACCAATGACCCAAACCGAGTGCTCTAAAACAATGTCTTCATGCTCTTGGTCTGATGGACATTTGCTTCATAGCCTTCTGCTTCTCTTCATATAACAGTCGGAAGTGGGGAATGCTAATCCTGGGGATTGAATGTGCTCCTCTGGACCTTTCAATCTGACCCTCAGGTCTCCCCCCCTAGCCAGCCCGGGCAAGGCAAGTAATTTGCGCCCCCTAACCCGTGGATTTGCGCCCCCTAACCCTAACCCCCAGATGTTGCGGCCGGTGTGGCCGGCCCCCCCTGTACCCCCCAGCCCCCCAGCTACGCCACTGCCCCCAGCCATACCCTTCAGCTACACTTCAAAGAGTATGGGAGCTTTCTGACTCGCTGTTTCTTCTTCATGCGAAATTGGGGGAATACACCTTTCCCCCTTCCCTACCTACTTGAAAATTTCTCCTGCTGCACTGTAGCACCCTAAGGTGCACCGATTCATAGTCAGCCTCACATCTCAACCCGTTTGTTGCGGTATATCAGAGGTGCTGGAATGTTTTTCTGGAGAGTGGGGAAAGGCAAAGGTGTCATTTTCCCTCCCTTTCCTCCTGAAACCTCCCTGGGTGACATGAAGAGGGAAGGCTTTGAATTGCAGGAAATATAGTCATCCCTAGTATAAAATCTTTGTGACACTAGCAAGCCATTTCCCTCAGTCATCCTCAAATTCCCCAGCAACACAAACAAAAAACAAACAAACACAAATCATTCGGACTCCATATCTCAGAGCTCTTTGATTCGATGAGCTCAGGTTATTTTCCAGACTGCTTTGTGAGGTTCTTGTTGTCAGTGGGGTTTTTTTCAGTTTAATTTCCAAATTAGTTTGGTAATTCTGGCGTGAGGGGACACCAGTCAGGAGAAATCATTGTCTTGATTTTGGATGACCACACTTCACTTCCAAACTGGCAGACATGTGGGCCATTCAAATACCATGTGAGAACAATTAATATGCCGTTTCACTTTGGACCATGAATGAGATGGATTGAGTCTGCTCCTGTTTCACTGTAGTTGACACCCAGCTGCACAATAAGCTACCCCAATTTATTACAATGAGTAGCATGAACATGTGGACCAATTAGAAACCAGTAGATTTCCATAAGGGGCGGGGCATGGAAGTTGTCTACTTAAGTGGGACAGAATCAAAAGCAGGCAGTGCAGGGCATCTTCTAAGCAACTGTCTGCATTTCCCAGCTAACTAGGTGCGTTTTATCATGTTTGGGCCATCATCCGTTGTCCTCCTGGCGACATGGTACACAGGTGAGAAGAGTAGGAAGGGCTACCTTTCAGACAGTACCTTAAACACAGAATGGTCTCAGAGAAACTAACAGTCTTCTTCTTTCCCCAGTCTCCAGTGCCCAGATTGTGGTGACTCAGGAGCCTTCTGTGTCAGCCTCTCCTGGACAGACGGTTAAACTCTCCTGTTCCATGAGCAGTGCAACTGTGAGAAGCTATGGCCAGTCTTGGTACCAGCAAAAGGCTGGCAGGCCTCCCTGGTTCCTGTATTATTACTATAGCAGTGCAGCTGCCGGCTCTGGGGACCTCAGTCGGTTCTCCGCTTCCAAGGAGGCTTCCCAAAATACCTGGTATTTAACCATCAGCAACATCCAGGCAGCAGATGAGGCTGATTATCACTGTGCTGTGTGGTATCAGCCAGGTAGCAAGTTCCACAGTGATGCAGTCCTATGAGGAACTGAGACAAAAACCTCTGACTGCCGATCAAAGGCCCTTTCTGTCCAAACACCAGGCTTACAATGAGACACTCTGGAGAATGGGAGCCAGGTATGCTGAGCCTTGCCTACAAACTTCAGATTGGGTGCCATTATCATCTGCCTCCATCATGCCCTCCAACATTTCTATGATGAAAATAGGGACCTCCTATTCCATAATACCTTGCTCATCTGACTGGGTTGGCCCAGTCACTCTGGGCAGCTTCCAACATATGCAAGATTGAATGTATTATGTAATAACTGGTACGCTGTTTCTCTCTCTAGCCAGTGTGGTGTAGTGATTAACAGCGATAGACTTCCCCGCTCCTCCACATGCATGCTTCCCTGCTCCTCCACATGCAGCTGCTGGGTGACCTTGGGCCAGTCACACTTCTTTGAAGTCTCTCAGCCCCACTCACCTCACAGAGTGTTTGTTGTGAGGGAGGAAGGGAAAGGAGAATGTTAGCTGCTTTGAGACTCCTTCGGGTAGTGAGAAAGCGGAATATCAAATCCAAACTCATCTTCTCTTCTAAGTAGTATTTAGAGGCCACCGCAATCTCTGCTGAGTGGATGCATGAGATTCCAGAGGTTCCAGGCCACCAATAATATGTAGCAGATCCCAACACTTATCACCAATGAGTAATGTGGCAGACTGACCCTGATACCTGCCCCCTATTAAATATAGTGCACACACCTCACTGTACACCGATTGATAAGAAGTTTGACAAAATTTACACAAGTGGGGGGCTTTTGTGAAGGAAAAATTAATGAGTTAAAATATCAGGCAGAGGTTGAACAAACAAGAAAAAGAATTGTTAGGTAAAAAGGAGTTTGGGGAACAAAGCAGGTCAGGAAATGTGTTCTTTCATGTAGAAGTTAACTTATTTACTTACTTCAGTTATGGTCAAATAGATTGGCGCCCTCACATTGCAGAATGCGACAGGCCCCTAGAGGGCTGCCTTGCTCTAAAAATACTGGAACGAATGAAATCAGTTTTGTGCAGGAAACTGGGGAAGGATGTTGGGGTATAAGATCTTGTATTGCATTTGTCAACCAGATTCATGATGACACATTAATATGTTGCAAGCTGCATCTCTCATGCACACCACCCTGGCATTCAGAGTGCTGTTTCCCTTACATTCTCTTGAACGTACCCCAAGGATAGGATGATGGAGAAGCCACAAAGGGAGCTTGCAAGTATGGCTGAAGAAACACACTGTGCCACCCCTATGCATAGGGGCAGTCTTGGTGGCCAATCAACAGGGAGTGAATTTGCATAAAGGGAGCATTCAGTGGCTTCGATGGGCTTTAAGAGGAAGCTGCCTGGGTTCATCCTTAGGAAGGAGAGTTCATCACCCATGTCCACCATGGCCTTGTCTCCTTGTCATCTTCTCATCCTGGTCTTCGCTTATTACTCAGGTACTGAGATGGGTACCTGCCCAATTTTAGATCCCTTTTCCTATTCTACAAAATAGGCATTGCCATTCCATCGGGCACATCTTGATCTTGGTTTTGGGTGCCCAGGTCATTTGAGCTGATTTGAGTGGAAGGGCTGATGGACCCATGACTTTGCCTTGAGCTGGGATATGTGTAGAGCAGATGCTCATTTGGACCTATAGTGTCCAGGCGACCATTTCTGCATGCATCCCCACTCAAGCCAAGGTCATTCCATCCACCAACCCCTTGGTCTTCCAATTATTTATCTCTGCTTATATTTCACCCCCTTCCAGGTTCTGTGGCCCAATATGTTCTTAATCAGCCACCCTCAGTCTCTGTATCTCTAGGACAAACTGCAGAATTCTCATGTTCAGGAGAAAGGGTTGATAAGCACTATGTTTACTGGTACCAGCAAAAACCTGGTGGCATCCCCAAGGCAGTTATATATAAGGACAAGGAAAGACCTGCTGGGATTCCAGAACGATTTTCTGGTCGCAGCAGTGGAAAAACAGTCACCTTAATCATCGCTGGTGTTCAACAGCAAGATGAAGCTGATTATTACTGTCAAGGATGGGATAATGTCACTGCCTCTCAGCACAGTGGTGTGTTCAGAGGGGGAAGTAAGACGCAAACCTTTGGTCCTCAAAGGCAGTTGCAGCTGCCACATCTTACCGGGTCTCAGGTGGCTGAAGATGCTTCCTGTTTTCTTCCTGGAGACTTTCTCCACTCGTTGAGGTGCAGCTGGGTATTTCTGCTCCATTGGCTGTGATGTTGTTACAATCACCCTCTGACCTTGAGATGAGACAAGCAAGATACTCAGAGGTGGCTGGAGCATATTGAGGCTGGTGAAGCAGAAGGCAGGGAGACCAATGATGTTTAAAATACAGTGGTACCTCTGGTTGCGAACGGGATCCATTCCGGAGGCCTGTTCGCAACATGAAAAGAACACAACCCGCGTCTGCACGTCTGCTCACGTGCGGGTTGCGATTCACCGCTTCTGCACATGCACATGATGTCATTTTGCATGTCTGCGCATGCACGAGTGGCGAAATCCAGAAGAAACCCTTTCCGGTATTTCTGGGTCACCGCAGGACGTATCCTGAAAGAATGTACAGTGGTACCTCGGGTTACATATGCTTCAGGTTTCATACGCTTCAGGTTACAGACTCAGCTAACCCAGAAATAGTGCTTCAGGTTAAGAACTTTGCTTCAGGATGAGAACAGAAATTGTGCTCTGGCGGCGTGGCGGCGGCAGCGGGAGGCCCCATTAGCTAAAGTGGTGCTTCAGGTTAAGAACAGTTTCAGGTTAAGAACGGACCTCCGAAACGAATTAAGTACATAACCTGAGGTACCACTGTAACATGAAGCAGACATAACATGAGGCATGACTGTAATGTTTGTGAAAATACCAGAAGCTTTTCTTTGGGGAATTATAGGGACAGAACTACCTAAACTTATTCATGTATGCTACTACAGAGGCAGCAACACTACTCACCCAAAAATGGAAAGAAGCAAAAGTCTCAGCAAAGGAAGAATGGATACAAAAACTTATGGAATATGCAGAAATGGCGAAACTTACTGGAAGAATAAGAAATCAAGATAACAAACTCTTTATAAAAGAATGGAAATAATTTAATAATAATTTATTATTTATACCCCACCCATCTGGCTGGGTTTCCCCAGGCACTCTGGCCAGCTCCCAAGAGAGTATTAATAATATATTTTTTTTAAGTGACAAAACATCACACATTAAAAACTTCCCGAAACAGGGCTGCCTTCAGATGTCTTCTAAAAGTCATATAGTTGTTTATTTCTCTTGACATCTGAAATACTGGAAGAATAAGAAATCAAGATAACAAACTTTTCAAAAAAGAATGGAAATGGTTTATTGAATATTTACAGATAAATTGTAAACAGATAAGAATATTGGCAGGATTATTGTAATAACCTGCAGTTTCATAAGAGTATATATTTCAAGAAGATGAATCAATGAGCAAACTAAGTTAATTTGGATACGCAGAAGATATTGAAAATAATTTTAACGAACCACAGAAAGGGGGGGAAGGAAGTCAAGTTTTGAAATGTCGAAATGAATGTAAAATCAGCGAAATGTATGAACCTGAAAAGTATAAATAAAAAATTGGAAAAAAAGAATGACATGCCACCTTCCGTTCATGTTTCCCTACTGACCAATCAGAACAGAGCTGATTAACATGGAGGTGGAGCACCTCTACAAACAGGAGTGATTTAAAGACTGGTTTCCATACTCACCCACACTGTCCTGGGTTCCTTTTCTTTCCTCATTGCAGATTCAAATTTCAGCATGGTTTGGGTTTGCCTTGTTAGCCTGCTGGCGATTTGGTGCGCAGGTGAGAGGAAGTTATGTATACATGAACACCGTCACTGCCATAAGCGTTCCTAATGCACCCAGCGTGAATATTCTTTCAATATTCTTTTCTTCCAGGGTCAAGTTCTCAGCCTCTGCTGTCTCAGCCGGTGTTAGTTTCAGTGCCACCAGGAAACACAACCACAATTTCCTGTTCCTTGAACAATGGATTCAGCATTGATAGTTTTGCTGTGTCCTGGTTTCGGCAGAAGCCTGGGGGTTCGCCAGAGTACCTCTTATTCTATCATACAGATTCTATCAAGCACCGAGGCTCTGGAATACCCTCTCGTTTCTCCAGTTCCAAAGACCTCGCCAGGAACAGTGGCTATTTAACTATCTCTGGAGCCCTGGCAGAAGACGAAACTGATTATTACTGTGCCACATTTCAAGGCAGCACATGGCACGGCGACGCAGTTCAAGGGGGAACTGAGACAAAAACCCACACATCTGTTCTCCTTGAGGAAATCAGTTATATACGTCAATGCAGAGATTTCACCAGAACTAAGAGAACAATTGCAATTGTCTCAGCTCTTTCCCATTTAGAAGGTGGCTTTGCTTCCGAAATTTTGCCAGACCTGGCATTTGCCCCCGCCTTGCTAGGTATGACTTTTGCACCTATTCGGTGTGAATAAGATGGCAATGCTCCTGGACTAAAATTGTCTATCAAAAACTTCACTCTTGTGGCTTATCACCCTGACAGCTACTCACTTGGGGTTTTAGTAAAGCAAACAGTCTAATTTGGCAGCAAGTAAATCAGGCATAGGCAAACTCCGGCCCTCCAGATGTTGGGGACTACAATTCCCATCATCCCTGACCACTGGTCCTGTTAGCTAGGGGTGATGCGAATTGTAGTCCCAAACATCTGGAGGGCCAGAGATGGCCTATGCCTGACCTAAATGATAATGAGTGTCAGAACAACTTGGCCACAATAAGGAAATTTTGCCCATGTTATGACTATTTCCCACCTTCCATTTTGACTATCTGGCACCCTCTCTGCAATTCCAAAATATGGGCACCCTTTTACCCTTGAAAGATTGAATGTCTTGCCCTCAGCTGTACTTGAGGGACGGTTCCAACAGATTCCACACGAAAAACACTTATGTCCCTGGGGAGATGGCAGTATCAAATCAGCGACGCATGTCCTTCTGGCCTGCACTCTTTATAAAGACTTGAGGAATGAGGTTCTCGCCCCTCTTTTATTGTCCATTCCGGGTGGCCCAGCCACTGCCACAGTGTCCTTTCTCTTGGCAGATCAAGATGAGCAGGTGACAGCAAAAGGTTGCAAGGGTTTTAGCTGGGGCAATCAGAATAAGGTCCACTACTTGACTACTGATTCAAAACCCTAAAATGCATTTTATATAATCGACTTCTTATTTGTATTTCTATTCTTTGTATATCGTATTGTTGTTTTATTGCTATGGCCGGTGGCCGATGCAAATAAAAATTCATTCAGATGGCAGTGCTCTAATCTAAAAGTGCACATCTGAGCGAAAATGGTGCACAGAAATTCACAATACTCCTTGCTTTGCATAAAACGCACATTTCAAACAAAATTGCATTGATCAGTATGTTTATTTGGAGAAATTTGCACTGAAAGATGGATGAATTTTCACGAGGGTTTTTATAAATGAATGAATGATTTTTTTTATTTTTTTTTTAAAGTAGAATGGTGGAGAAGCATCAATTGCACCATGGAACCACCTGTAACATGTCAAGGACCTCTTTATGTAAAACTACTTCCTGCTTGATTTCCTGTTTTCAGGCTACTTTCACTCCTCAGAGCAATTTATGTAGATACTGATTTCTTTTAAAGAAGGTATGGTTTAAGTCATGTCTGCAAACCAGACAAGAGGAATGCACAAACCCCACAACACTTCATTTCCACGACCTATTGGGCAGAGAAAGCAATCCCAGTCTGTCCATAATGGTTAGGATTCGACAGATGTGTTGCCCCACCCAGCTCTACTGAGCTCTGATGGGATCTGCCAACAGGGGAACTCTGCCATTGTGGAAGTCTCCACTGCATCCACCAAATGTCGAGGCAGATACTCCAGCTGCTGATACCCAAATACAAAACCGGGCACTTTCTGGATGGGAAAAGGGGGAGCTGGGCCTGTTCAGAATCTGCTATATCCATCTGAAGACCTCTGAATGCAGTTCTGTATAGCAAAGTTTTTTGTGTTGTTTTTTTAAAAAAATAATTTTATTTGATTTAACAAGCATAGAGTTACAACAATATCAAATAAATATGCACATTCAGAGATTTCTCTCAATCTCTAGACTTCTCATCCCCTCCATGGGTCTTATTGTCAACATTTTCAACTGCATATTACCGTATTTTTTGCTCTATAAGATGCACTTTTCCCCTCCTGAAAAGTAAGGGGAAATGTGTGTGCGTCTTATGGAGTGAATGCAGGCTGAGCAGCTATCGCTGAAGCCAGGAGAGCAAGAGGAATCAGTGCGCACCGATCCCTCTTGCTCTCCTAGCTTCAGGGATAGCCCCTCAGGAGGCTTTGCGTTGCTTTCTTTTCCCTCCCCGAAAAACTAGGTGCGTCTTTGTGAGATTTTGATCAGCTCCTGAATCAACCATCTGGAGCTGATACAGGCTCGTCTTATCTTGAGCCCAAGCAGAGTGTAGTCCAGCAACGAAAGGATAAGCAGGTAAATGTGCTACATGCTGAAGTTTATTTACAAGCTATGCTGAGAGCATACAAACATACATCCTGCCTCTGTGAGAGCAGAGAAGCAACTCCTTCTCTAACAAAGAAACCGAGAGAACACTGAAAAACAGGAAACCAGTGTACGACACATCCAGTCTCCCATTCGCGTGGGAACCCAACAGTAACTCTGACTGTGGAATGTAAACAATGTCTTGTGCCAAGCAGTTTTGCTGCTCAGTGAGGGAAATAGAAACCAACAGTCTTATGGTCGGGTGCGTCTTACAGAGCGAAAACACAGCCACATTTTGTATCTGGCCATATTGTCCATAGTGATTGTTACATTACAAGTGTTATTAAAAGCCTGCTAACATTTCCATCTGCTTACGGTGGTCTCCTTAAAAAAAAATATTTTTTCCCCATTCTTTTTTAAAGTTTTGGTCTTCTTGGTTCTTGAGCTTTCCGGTCAGTTTTGCCATTTTGGCATAATTCTGTTGGAAAACATGCCCCCTCGGGAGAGGCTGGCAACTTTCCCAGGCTCCCGGGCTTGTTTACCGGTGATCTGCCCTGGCTGCAATCCCCGCAGTCCAGGAGATCTAGATAGGCAACATTTCCCAGCGTGGAAAATGCACCCCCCCTTCCATCCTTGCTTCCCAGCAAGGGAAAGAAGATAGTCAGAAAGTCTTTTTACAGCTTGTTTATTTCTGACATTACAGCTCTACAAGAAACACATCCATTCAGTTCAGTCTCCTTCAAACAAGTGGCAAAGACTTCCTTTACATACGCAACAGGAAGGTCTCATATTACACACAGAACAAAGACTTCTTAAGCCTGTGAACTTCCGGGAAGATTCTTTCCCACAGCCAGCCACATCATGTGATGTAAACATTGAGCTGGTTTGCAGCTGCGTTGCTCTCATATTGTAACAAATTCAACAGCTTAGTTTGCCATTCTTCTCTGGTAGCGACTTTGTCTTCTTTCCATCTCTGGACCATCCTTTCCATCCTTGCTGCTGCTGTCGCATACATAAAAAGTCTTTTCTGCTCCTTTGGGATATCGGTACCTACAATTCCTAATAAGGAAGCTTATATTTTTTTTTATTAAAAGTTATTTTAAACATTTTTTCATTTCATTATATATCATTTCCCATGTATAGGGAAGTTTTTAAAATGTTTATTATGTGTTTATATATGTTGGGAGCTGCCCAGAGTGGCTGGGGCATTTCAGTCCAATGTGTGGATGATGATGATGATGATTAAATAGGACACCCTTATTTTCATTTCTGTGTTAGAGGGTATGTCTCTCTCTCCATATATGGATATATATACACACACACATTAACCAAGGAATTTGTTAAAACTGAGGGCCACATTCCTTACTGGAAAACATTCCAAGGGCCACAAACCAAAGGAAATACAGTGGTGCCTCGCAAGACGAAATTAATCCGTTCCACGAGAGTCTTCGTCTAGCGGTTTTTTCGTCTTGCGAAGCAAGCCCATTGACGGATTAGCGCTATTAGCGCTATTAGCGGTTTAGCGGCTATTAAAGGCTTAAAGGCTTAGGGGATTAGCTGCTAAAAGGCTATTAAAGGCTATTAAAGGCTTAGCAGATTAGATAAAGGGGGGGAAAAGCGAAAAAAAAATCTCAAGACTCGCAAGATATTTTCGTCTTGCGAAGCAAGCCCATAGGGGAATTCGTCCTGCGAAGCAACTTCAAAACGGAAAACCCTTTCGTCTAGCGGTTTTTCTGTCTTGCGAGGCATTCGTCTTGCGGGGCACCACTGTACAGTGGTACCTCGGGTTACATACGCTTCAGGTTACGGACGCCGCTAACCCAGAAATAGTGCTTCAGGTTAAGAACTGCTCCGGCGGCACAGCAGCAGCAGGAGGCTCCATTAGCTAAAGTGGTGCTTCAGGTTAAGAACAGTTTCAGGTTAAGTACAGACCTCCAGAATGAATTAAGTACTTAACCTGAGGTACCACTGTAGTTTGTAGGGTAACAGATATAAATGTTACCTTTGTACAGCAGACTAATTTTGACCCACATTCCCACACTCCTCTGTATCCCCCTGTATCCAGGGAAAAAAGAGGCATTATCAGAATTCAACGACACACACCAGTGGAAGGGGGGGTGCAAGGCAGTCAGTGAGGGGTGCTGCATGAGCTGAAATTTGCAGACCCTAACACTTGTAATTCAATGGTGAATTTGGGATATAATGGAGATATAAAAGATTTGGATCATTATAAAAGATGCAGGAGGAAATGACTAACAATAGGGCCCCCAAAGGGAAGGGAAGAAGTCCAGGAGATTCTGTGGAATCTTGTTTCTATATTGTATGTTGGATATGTGAGTGTAAAACGTTGATTTGAAAAACCAAATAAATAAATTTTAAAAAGAGAGAGAGATTTGCAGGCCAAATGCAGTTGCCTTGCGCTCCTGACCATAAACCATCCAAATGGCCTCGGCCCAGTATACCTGAAGGAGCATCTCCACCCCCATCGTGCAGCCCGGACACTGAGGTCCAGCGCCAAGGGCCTTCTGGCAGTTCCCTCGCTGCGAGAAGCCAAGTTACAGGGAACCAGGCAGAGGGCCTTCTCGGTAGTGGCACCCTCCCACCAGATGTCAAAGGAAAAAACAACTACCAGACTTTTAGGAGACATCTGAAGGCAGCCCTGTTTAGGGAAGCTTTTAATATCTGAAGGACTATTGTATTTTAATATTGTGTTGGAAGCCACCCAGAGTCGCTGGGGAAACCCAGCCAGTTGGGCGGTGTATAAATAAATGAATTATTGCACGGACAGGCGGAGTCCCCAGGTCCCGAGCGCCCCCCCCCCCGTCATGTGGAATAACGACTCAAGACAACGTGCTATGGGATTAAATTGGCCACAACTTTATTAAATTTCAAATGTGGGTAGACCTTGGCTCAGGCACTGGGCGTTCTCCCTCCCCGGTCCCCAGCCGGGGACCTAGGGAGCATCAGGGTTATCCAGTGTTTGTGTGGGGGATGGGCTGGCTCTGGAGAACATATGTTCAAGCAGAGATAGCCGTCCCCGTTACGCCACCGCCACAGGGGAGGGCAATGAGGACCTTTCGGCGTACGGTCAAAGCCTCCCTTCAGAAACCCCTTTAACGGGGAACCCTGGTATCACGGCTGCAAAGAGGAAGATGGACAAAAGGATTCCGCCCAAGGCCTGATACCGCCAAAGTTGTGGCGTTTTGCTATAGGTAAGGCAAAACCTGCCAATGCAGGGAAATTCCTTTCCGGCCCTTTGACAGCGACCTTAACGTAGCAGCACCCGCATACCTGTGAAGAAAAGCTAACCTGCAAAACCTATGAAGAAAAGTTAACCTGCAAAATAATGCATTAACTGAGGGTGGGTAGGGTGGGAGAAGCTCTGGAGCCAAGTGAGGATTCCCAGGTAAGATCCTTCCTCTATTGTGTGGGCAGGTAATCCCTCCCCTACCTGGCCTGATCTCTTTCGCTTCCCCCCAGGTGGGATTGGACAACTGACTGGGGTAGGCGGAGACCTCCAGGTATCCCACTTGAGGGAAGGCAAAGCCAAGCCTATGCTGATGGAGCCGCTCCAGATCCAGGGGCTGTGCGCGTCCACGCAAAGGTCATCCCCCGTTTTATGTGGGGAGCGGTCATTTCCAGACATTTTCATGAATACCGGAAATTTCCACTGGATGAAATTTCCTGAGGCAAAATCCTGGACATATGGCAGCCATATTCTTGTTTTTGTATTCAGAAAATTCACTACATATTCCAATGCTTCTTCTTTAAAAAATGTGTTTGGCAATAATGTCAAATAATGTCAAATTTTCCCCATCAAATGTTTCCTCCTTGAGTCAGGCTACCTCTCCTACACAGGGCTGCAGTTAGGCTGCAGGTGTCAAGCTTCAGATCTCTGGTCCTTTTTTAAAAATATTTTTTAAATTAAATTTTTCAATAAAATAACAAAAACAAACACAAAAAAAGCACAATGTCAAATACAATAACCACCACAAACAAAGAAAAATATACACAAAAACAATATCAAATCCAAAAAAATGGGATTCTCTGAACCCCTTGACTTCCCTCAGCTGCATATCATATCTACTCCAAATTATTACTTTTTTTACCTCAGATTTCTTGTACTATTTCTAAAATGACAAGGGTTTTGAACATCCTGCCAATGTATTAACCTGTTTCCAATACTTTTGCAAATACTTAATAAACATTTCCCATTCATTTTTGAATCTCTTGCCGTCTTGATTTCTGAGCTTTCCAGTTAATTTCGCCATTTCAGCATAGTCCATTAACTTGGTTTGCCAGTCTTCTTTGGTTGGGACTGCTTCCTCCTTCCATCTTTGGGCTAATGGTATCCAGGCCGCCATCATAGCATACATAAACTCCCCCCCCCCATCTTTTGGAATCCTACAATGTTGGGTTCTACAATACCTAGTAAAAAGGTTCTGGTTTTTTTAAACAAAGGTTACTCTAAACATTTTTTTCATTTCATTATAAATCACTTCCCTGAATTTTTTAACCTTCCTACATTCCCACCACATATGATAGAATGTACCCTCTGCTTCTTTACATTTCCAACACTTATCAGGAGATCTGGGGTCCTAAACTCAGCCCCCCCCCCTTATCTCTGTAGCGGATGTTTCACATTCTCCCCAGTTCATTCCCTCACTCCACTGCTTTGCAGTCTCCTGGAGTGTTTTTCATCTACTATAGTCTGTCCTTGAAACCTGATAGCACCTCTTGGTGATGTGAATAGAGGAAAGAGAGAAGTGTGAGAGTGCAGAATCTTGCCTGTGATACAAAGGTAAAATTTACTTGTGTTACTCTGCCCACTTTTTCCTTGCCTAGATAGGAACGCAGCCACCAGTCTGAACAAGCTTCCCCATCCCTAATTAGGGGCATTTTTGGCTGTGGACTTAATGACCTAGCTTGAGAAGGAGGCTCTCTATATGGAAATACGTGTTGCTTCAATTCAAAATGTGTTGAGCCAGTACTGCTACATTTTAGAGACCCTCGTTTTGTGGAGTTGGCCCACGACATCTGCTTGCCTCCCCAAGTCCTGCCCTGATTGCACCATTGCCACTTCCCTTTCATCCTGGCCAAAGTGAGGACCGCCTACAAGAGTTTCATGCAAATTTATCTAATTAGCATTGGCTGTGCACTCCCCCAAGCAAGCCAATAAAGACATTCTTGCGGATCCAAGGACCAGAGAATAAATTTTCATGAAGGACCTGCTTGGCATTTCTCAGGGAATTTGGAGAGGAGGAAGAAGAGCCCAACTAGGTCTCCTTCTGTAGTGAAGTCACACTCCTTTAGAGAGCTCACCATGGCCTGGCCTCTGGTTTTCCTAGCCCTTCTCAGCTACTGTGCAGGTAAGACTATGAAGGACTCTCTCCACACAGGAGAACATCTCACCTACTAACATTATGTATTTAGCAAAGGAACATCATGCTTCTTTGAGATTTGAAACATGGAAACTGAACCGACGTCCTCTTTCTCTTTCCCCCCTTTTCGTAAAGGTGTGACTTCACAACCAAGTTTGACTCAGCCTGCTTCTGAGTCTGTGTCTCCAGGTGAAACTGCGAAACTCTCCTGCACCAGAAATGGTGGTAGTGGCTGGGATGCATTTCATTGGTATCAACAGAAACCTGGGCAGGCTCCTCGCTTTCTGTGGTATGGCACCAGCACCAGGGGAGACGGAATTCCAGATCGGTTCACTCCTTCTTCCTCTGGGAACACCGGCTATTTAAGTATCACTAACATCCAGACTGAAGATGAGGCCGTTTATTACTGTTCCGACTGGGAGTACAATATCTTGAAGGGGTATCACAGTGGTACAATCTAATGGGGAACTGAGACAAAAACCTTCTCTCTTCTTCTTAGAGAAGGGAAAACTGATGCACTCATGGGCATAACTCTGTGTGATAGAGGTTTGCCTGCTCTATACCTAGAAATGAGGGCACCTTTTCCCCAATGCCTTCTCTCTCTTCTCTCTCTCTCTCTCTCTCTCTCTCTCTCTCTCTCTCATTTTTGACTTTTTCATTTGTACAGACATCAAATAGAAATACAACACACTCCAAATATCCCCTTTGACTCCCCCCCCCTTTTGTGGTTTCATACTGTATCGCCTTTTTAATTCCAATTATTTATAAACCCCAGGTAATCCTTAATGCAAATTTTAACTACAAGTTTTAAGTTAATCCTGCTAATGAATTTAATGGTTTACAATGATTTTTCAAATGCATTATTTACTTTCTCCATTTTTTATTAAAAGTTGGTTTCTGATTTTTCTAGCAAGTTTTGCCATTTCCACTTAGGCCATTAGTTTTATCTGCCATTCTTCCTTGGTTGGAATTGCATCTTCCTTCTGGGAATTCTGGGCATTCCCTCTTTCTTTTTGACCCCTGCAGGAGAAGGAGCCACCCTTTCTGCTTGCCTGATCTGACTTGTTCCCTCTGCAACTGGGACAAGCAGCCTTCCAAAGTTTCCTCCTTCTTCCCACATTCCTCTGACTGCCTCATTGCCAGGTCTGCACCTCCCTCGCAGTGTGTCCCTTTTGCCAGGCGGGAAAGATTGTGCTCTCCATGCAGGGCTGGATTTAGGTTTGACGAGGCCCTAAGCTACTGAAGGTAATGGGGCGCTTGATATGTCCAGCTGTCCTTTGTCATCAACAATTTGTCACTGTTTTTTGTGTTGAATATATACTATATGGTAATTTATGGACCTAATCGGTATCTAAAGCCATTTGCACATGCAGAATGTAGGCATCCTATATACAGAAATGAGCAAACCAGTGATATTTTAGGGAGCAGGCTAGCAGGCGGGGCCCATTACTTACATCATAGGAGCCTACACAACACAAAACACCGTTGCTGTTTGTAGGTTTTATTTTATTTGTTTTTATCTTATATTTTGGAAATAGACATCCAGTTTTATTCCTTTAAATTTTTGCTCCCCAAGAGAGTGGGGCCCTAAGCTATAGGTTGTTTAGCTTATACATAAATCCGGCAGTGTCTTCAGTGTGTTTCCTTCTGATCCGGCCCCCAACAGAGATGTGACCACTGCTGCCTCCTGCCAGTCTCCCTTATGAAAATAAATTCTGTTGCCTTTCTTTTTGTTATGGCGTTATGTATTCACAGTGCAGATTGAAGTCAGTGGTGGTTTTCGTTGTCTCCCCCACCCTCTGGTAAAAACCATTACACCCCACCTACCAGCAGGTGGCGCTGTGGTCTAAACCACTGAGCCTCTTGGGCTTGCCACTCAGAAGGTCGGCAGTTTGAATCACCGCAACAGAATGAACTCCTGTTGCTCTGTTCCAGCATCTGCCAACCTAGCAGATCAAAAGCACACCAGTGAAAGTAGATAGATAGGTACCACTGTGGCGGGAATGTAAATGGTGTTTCCATGCGCTCTGGTTTCTGTCACAGTGTTCGGTTGCGCTGAAGCGGTTTAGTTCTGCTGGCCACATGACCTGAAAAGATGTCTGTGGACAAATGCCGGCTCTCTCGGCCTGAAAGCGAGATGAGCGCTGCATCCCAGAGTCTACTTTGACGGGACTTAACTGTCTTGGGGTCCTTTTTCTTTACCTACCAATATCTGATGGTCTCAACAAAGGATGTTTTACACAGGTTCATAATAATGTGTAATAAAGTTATTATTATTTAAAAGCTTATGTGTATTATCTGGAAATCAGACCAGCAATGGCTAGGAATTAGCCCCTGAAAGGGATTCTTCCCCTGGGTTCAGACAATCCACTACATATAGCAACCACTTTTTAAAAAGTGTTTGGCATTAATGGTGAGTGAAACCTCAACCTCAACATACCCTCCAACATACAGACAATCCTCTGATGCCCAATTTCTCCAGCACTTACCCTTGGCCCCTACAGGATACTTGCCACCCCAAACCCCTCAAACTCCAGCCCCACACAGGCTTGCCTGCACCCCACCAGGTAAACCCTTCCCTGCCCCCACTCCAGGGTCTGCTCCTGCCTGGGGTCTCCTCCAGCCACCGCCTTCTCTTCTGGCCTGACCTAGCTCCCTTTTTCCTTCTTGTTTTTACTCAACATAGCTGGTTGGATGGGTGGCTGGGGCCTGCCGGGCTGGAGAGACATAGCCTCACACGGTGGAGACAGTAATCTCAGTGGCATCATCATCCCTGTTGCCTTCCTCCCTTTTTCTCCTTCTCTTATTCCCGCTACGGCTGCTGCTGTAACTGGCAGACTTGCCTGCCTGGCTCCCTCCCTTGGACCCAATGCAAGACTCCCCCCTCTTCCTCTACCTCGACTTCTCAAACTCCCAGCAGTGGTGGCAAGGAGGCGATGAGGTGGAGGAGAAGATGGCAGCCTCAGCAAGCAACTATCTCTTCCCCTAGAATGATCCCAGCCTTCTCATGTTGCCTCCCTATGTGGCTCTGCAAGGCATGTTTCCATGGTGGGAAACATTCGCTGTGTACAACACAAGACCAATTCTCATTTTTTTTTAAAAACCATTTATGCAAATCTGGGTGCATTTGCATAAAGGGGGACATTCCCCAACCCTAGAGGACTTAAGAAATCAAAGGGTGAGGTCCTAGCCAGTTGCTTTTGTGTTTGAGAAAGCCCATCACCATGGCCTGGACTCTGTTTTTCCTGGCCCTTCTCAATTACTGTTCAGGTAAGGATGCAAACAGGTAACCTCATGTAGACCTGAGAGATAAAACCAAATTACTTGTAGTGTTTATATATTATGGAAACCTAAAGCTCTAGTGATATTTGAGAAGACAGAGGATGGAGAGTCATGCTTTTCTTTGTCTTTTTACAAAGGTGCCAATTCACAGCCAACAGTGACTCAGACAGGCTCCCAGTCTGTGTCCCTGGGCCAAACTGTGAAACTCGCCTGCTCTAGAAGTAGTGGTGGTAGCTGGGGCTACTTTCAC